CAGTGTGTGTATTGAATATATTGTCTGTGTGTGCATAGTGGAGGCAGTGTGTGTAGTGGATGTAAGGTGTGTGGTGGATGCAGTGTGTCTAGTGAATGCAGTGTGTGTGTAGAGTTGGATAAATGCTGGTGGGGTGAACAGTTTGAAGTAAATTGGGATTATCCCCCCTTCCTGTCTCTTACCTGTTGACTGGAATGGCGGTACAGTGTGTAGGAAGGTGACAGTATAGGGGGAACAGTGTGTAGGAATGTGACAGTGTGGGGGGGAATTTGTACGAAGGCTGTGAGGGGCAGGGTGTGGTGGTGACAGTGTGGGGGTCATAGTGTGAGAGTGACAGAGGTGGTGGGCAGGATGTGAGTGTGATAGTCGTGGGAGGCAGGATGTGAGGGTGATAGTGGGGGGGGGCAGGGCGTGAGGGTGACAGTGCAGGGGGGGGTGACCAGCCTCCCCACAGTTACATACCTTGATTTTCAGTGCTCCCCATTTCCTGGTGGTCCAGTGGCCGGCTCTACAGGTCTGCAGCTCCGCCAGGTGTGAGCTGCAGACCAAGTTCTTGCGAGCTACGATTAGAGCATTGCCGTGGTAACCCATGGCAACGCTCTGAGAGCTCGCGAGCCTTCCCTCACATAGTCTGCAGCTCTACACACGGCGGAGCTGCAGATCGGAGTATCTCCCCGGGCAGACTGATGGAGGGGCCCAGCGGCATACAGGGCAAGCCGCCAGGACCTCTCCTCGTGTCGGGTCCTCGGACACTGACTAAGTACCTGACTGATTAGTCTGCCCCAAGATTTAGAGAGCCGTCTCTGCTCAGAAGAGGCGGCCCAGGGCGGCAAAATGCTGCCCCTGTTAAAGTGCCGCCTGTGCCATTGCCCCAGTTCGTCCTTTGGACGGGATGGCCCTGTACACCAAGTGAAATAAACTACCTCTATTTTGGACTAAAAGTTAAAGTGTAGTCTCCTATTTACCCATGTCTTCTGCAAGAAACACATAAATCCACAAAAGACCCGAACCCCTCCACCCTCTCCCCCACTTGTTTACCAAGTCAGGATAGAGAGTGGGAGCAACTCATTGGCTTAGTGCGTCAGCTGACCGCTATAAGCCAATCAGGGGCGCCCCTGCCTGGCAGCACTCTGCTCTTCCTGTAACGGAGATTCAAAAGCAGGATGGGAGGAACTACAGATTGGTCCTGGCAAAGGCAAGGTTAGCGCCTGGGTGTTCCTTTCCATTTCTATAGTTGCTGTCCATGTAAATGACCACATTTTTTTTTTAAATTCTTTATTTTTGTATTGACATAAATGTACAGACATTTGTCAGATATCAAAATTCAATATACCACGTAAACCATTTACGAACATTTGTCATATATAACCATTTGTTGGGCTCTACCCAATCTTATAGTACATGAGTGTATAATTGTCATACCCATTTCACATATCCAATGTGTGCGGCTCATATCTGTCTCTACGCTTGCTTTAAGATAATCAATACTATTTTTTGTTTGAACTAGGACGTGAAGAAGATAACTAAGGGGAAGGGGTTAACTAGCACTGTGTTATGCCTCGACCTGCATGATCCCGCTGGGACTACTGAGAGCTAGGTCCGTGTCATATGTAATGATTACATTTTTATACTCACTCAAATATTATTTTATTTACTCAACAATATGTATACTTGCAGTAATTTGATCATCTCAAAATAAAGCTCACCAACTCAGAAAATGCACAGTATTTCTATCCCTTCTACTCGAGTAGACCATACACACTGCTAACAATATGCACAACAATTATTACAGCACTTGGGGATTCATTACAGTTTATCGTTTGATATTTATCACTATGTCGACAACTGCAGATTGAAAGCATTCACAATTATTAACCATTTTTATACGCTTCAACATCACAATTTCTATTATCAGTTTGGTGAAAAAGAATAAATACCTTATGTTAAAACAGTGACATTTTGCTAATCACAATCCTGCCAAAGAATAGTTATCAACAGCTCAATGGAACCATGGGACACCTAGCAAATTCAAAACAGAACTTGATAAATCAATGTAATCATCTCATTGTAAACACTTTTCTAACTAACCAATAACCAAAGACCACAAACTCATGATCTCTAAACTGTAAGTTCATTTGAGCAGGACCTTCTTCTACCTAGTGTTACTGTGTAATTGTCTCATTTCTGGTAAATTTCCCCCCTTTCATAATATTGTAAAGCGCTGTGGAATTAGTGGGAGCTATATAAATTCCAACAATAATGACAATGATGTTGTGCATGCATCTTATGACAACCATTCCTCCATAAAAACTCCATAACTACAGCATGATGTAGTAGTTATTGTGCACCCACAACATAAGTAGTCAAACTGCCGATGCGAGAGCCAGAAGCCTCTGCTAGGAGCTCCCAATAGCTCTCTTTATCTGACCACATTCAGCCAAAGAGCTAATCCTTGTATTGCAAGGGTCAGCTTAAAGGGACACTATAGTTACCAAAATAACTTTAGCTTAAAGGACCACTATAGGCACCCAGACCACTTCAGCTTAATTAAGTGGTCTGGGTGCCAGGTCACGCTAGGGTTAACCCTTTTTTTTTTTTTATAAACATAGCAGTTTCAGAGAAACTGCTATGTTTATAATAGGGTTAATCCAGCCTCCAGTGGCTGTCTCTTGACAGCCGCTAGAGGCGCTTGCGTGCTTCTCACTGTGATTTTCACAGTGAGAAGACGCCAGTGTCCATAGGAAAGCATTGTGAATTCAGCCGAAGAGGAGGAGAAGAGGGAGGAGAGGATGAGGAGAGCTCCCCGCCCGGTGCTGGAAAAAAGGTAAGATTTAACCCTTTCCTCTCCATCCAGCCTGGCGGGAGGGGGACCCTGAGGGTGGGGGCACCCTCAGGGCACTATAGTGCCAGGAAAACAAGTATGTTTTCCTGGCACTAAAGTGGTCCTTTAATGAAGCAGTTTGGTTGTATAGATCATGCCCCTGCAGTCTCACTGCTCAATTTTCTGCCATTTAGGAGTTTAATCACTTTGTTCATGCAGCCTAGTCACACCTCCCTGTATGTGACTCACACAGTCTTCTTAAACACTTCCTGTAGAGTCATCTAATGTTTATACTTCCTTTATTGCAAATTCTGTAAATTTAGAATTTATTAACCCCTGCAGTCTCCTGTATGTAATTACATCTCTATTTACAAAGCAGGAGATAAAAACTTTTAAAGTAAGTTACATCTATTTGAAAATGAAACCAATTTTTTTCATACCGTCACAGCCAGGGGTGTGTAGCTTGGGCTGCATGAACAGAAATAAAAGTGATTTAACTCCTAATTGGCAGTGAATTGAGCAGTGAGGCTTCAGAGGCATGATCTATACACCTACACTGCTTCATTAAACTAAAGTTGTTTTGGTGACTATAGTGTCTCTGTAATGAAGAGATCTTGTAGAAAGGCGTGGTGCCCAACAGACCCCATGCAAGAAACCAAACCATTAGCCACCGAGAGGGCATTAGGGTACACCTGGAAACATGACCACTATAGAGCGCTTTAGTGGATATACTACCTTGAGCGTTATTATGCTTGTATACAATAAAGATATATCGGGCAGAGAAAGAGAAAAGTAATAGGAAAATGCAACCTGCAATTATTACTTTTAGGCAAAATGAAAGGAATTACTATTTTTAACAGAATATTTTTTGCTAATCACAGGAAATATAAATGAAAATATCACACATGAGGAAAGTATAACACTTGGAGTGTAGACACAGATGGGAAGCATAGAACAAGAGACAGAGAAAGTGCACTGATACAGACCATTTTGTATGCTGTATGTATACAATTTGGCTGTCAGCATGGCATACATTTGCACTGGCTAACACATACAGTTGTAATCAAAATTATTCAAACCCCCCCCCCATTGAAAATCAGGTTTATTGTCAAAATGTACAGATTTTCAGCTGTTTGCAATGAACAAATCAAAGAAAAGCAATTGAAATAGCTCAACACAATACAAGCTTTATGTGGTTTCCCTAAATTCAAGAAAATGTAACTTGTAATGACTTCTCCAGTCCCAACATTATTTAACCCCTTCATGGCAAACATCTTTAGTACTTAGTAGAGCGCCCTTTTGCTGACCTGCTGCAAACAAGATGCATAGTCAAACACCAGCTTATGCCAGTGTTCCTGAGGAATCTAAGTCCATTGCACATGAGCACTGGCCTCTAGTTCAGTAATATTCTTGGGTTTGATTACTGCAACCGCCTTCTTCAAATCCCCCCAGAGATTTTCGATGGCGTTCACGTCAGGTGACTGTTATAACCACTGTAGAATTTTCCAGGAAGTCTTCTGCAAACAAACCTTGGTGGAATTTGAGGTATGCTTGGGATTATTGTCTTGTTGGAAGGTCCAATGATGCCCAAGCTTTAGCTTCCTCACAGACGGCATGATGTTTTCTCCTAAGATTTCCTGATACTTCAGTAAATCCATCTTGCCTTCCACACTCTGCAAGTTTCCAGTGTCAGAAGATGCAAAGCAGCCCCAGAGCATTACCAAGCCACCACCATGCTTAACTGTAGGCAGAATGTTCTTTTCAGTGTATGCGTCATTCTTCTTCCTCCAGACATACTGCTGATCCATTGGGTTCCAAAAGGAAGTTTTTCTAAAAGTATTACTGAAGTGGAAAAATCAATTAAAGTATTGATTATTTCTTTGTGTATCTGCCCCTGGCCAAATCAATGAAACAATGCGTGCACGCTCCCTGAAGTAATTCACACCAGACACAGGTTCTAGGTTGTTGAATAACTTGAGGAAAGTTTATTCGGAGGGGACGGCAAGTCCCTTTTAAAGCAAAATTACATCAGAAGCATTGTCAGAAATAACATGGAATAATACATCAATTATTGGTTAGGTGTTAAGTGGTTGCTTCAATGCTCTGCCTACTGTAGGTGATGTCACCGGGGCCATGAGGGTCTCCCACGGTTTACCGGCGCCATCTTGATGCACGAGGTAGTTAGTCGATGTTAGGAAGGAAAAAGGGAGGGGAGGGGGGGGGAAGGAGCTAGAAGCTTCCAGCAGCCATCTTAATTATAACGTGTGTGCTTAGCTATATATATATATATATATATATATCGTGAAATGAGTAAATAGACATTTTTCACTAACTAGGAAATATGTGCAGACCTTATTTCCACAACAGTCCCCCCTAAAATGGCTATTTACCATAACAACTGCTACTGTCCCTAATATGTCCCTAGTTGCCTGCAACCTATCTGCCTTAACTAGCATCGAACACTTCACTCCGCGGGTAACCCGCAGTGGCTAGTCCACTACATCTCCACACGTGAGACTCGCCAGTTAAGACAGACGCTTTCCCTATACTGTCCCTACAGGAAAGCAGTTGTTTGTTTGAACTGATGTGATTGAAGGGGTGTATGTGGAGTATCATCTTCGAGGTCTGTGATGTCTTGGTGTATGAAAGTAGGGGTCACGTCATCTATAGTCTTGTCTACCGCTTTCTGTAGATACTTCTGTATGCAGGGGAATATACAACAGGTCAGAAATAAGAAAATGACGATCATTATGAGAACAGCTGTCCCCACCTGGAAGAGGGTCCTTTGCCAACCATTCATCCATCCAAACCATCTGTCCCAAGTGTCAATGACTCCTGAATTTTTCTTTAGCTCGTCTGCAAGACTATCTAGCTTCTCTATGGCCATAGTCACCTTACCGTTGGGCCCAGTGTTGTCTGGAATGTATGTGCAGCATGTCATGGTCTCAGGGAGGATTTTACATACACCCCCTTTCTCAGCTAAAATCATATCTAGGGCCATTCTGTTCTGAAATGTCATTTGGGTAGTGGCTTGTAATTGCTCTGCCAGGCCCTGTAGGGCATCCCTAGTGTAGTTGACAAAACGCTGTTGATTATAGTAAATGTAGTTAATCCAATTGACATTTTTGTTAGCAGTTATCATTGGAATTAGGGACTCAAATCCTGCAGCCACTTCATCTCTTGCTTTGAATTCGTTAGGCACCCCCCTTGGCACACCTATGGCATCAATATACACATGGGGGTCGAAACTCCCTCGAATAGGAGTCTCTCGTTTGGTTCTAGAGTGTACATGTGTGAGGTTTAACGTGTTATGGTCACCATCTGGAATGATATGGATAGGCATTATGACTTTAGTTAGGGCACACTCCCCCCACCATTGCCCAGTTAATTGGGACCTCAATTGTTTATCCCCACATAACCAATAGATATCACCGATTGTCTTTGTGTGGTTCATTAGCAGTGATACGGGTGGATTATGGTAAGTTGAGCAATATCCTGATGGGAATTTGCCCAGATACAAACCGGTGCTTTTAGATATTGTATAACATGTGTAATTACCTGGGTAGATGGTGACTCCATCAGGTGGTTTTACATGTCCGTGAGTGATCGGGTAAATTCTCTTCCACGATTCACATGTCGAGGAGTTGGTGACGGACTGTGTGTAAAGGCTCAGAACACATGATTCTACTTCAGGAGGCAAATTCAGAGGAACTGTGCCCAGATGGGGCCTGGCTCCTCCACACACATAACAATTGGTCTTATTGTGTGAGTTGGCATTATACCTCATCCATTCTAGCCACAAATTAGTGTCTGAAAAACCAGTTTCCACTGCCATAGTGTCTTCAAAGGTGGGGTTGGCTATAGCTACCATGTCATGTAGGGTCTTAATATGTGGTTTTAATGGGTTAACGATCATGTGAGTGGTCCCTACACAGTCTGGGGAGGTGAGCATGTCTTGTAGGTAAAATGTCCCCAATGCATTATGTGAGCCACCTCCCTTCCAGTACATCCCCATCACATATTCCCCCGCGTCCCTTGGACTAGGGTGTTCTATATTCAGGGTAAGTTTAATGGGAGTTGACCCTGTGGGTTTACTCAGAGTCATTCTAGAAAGTAGGGGCTTCCCGTCTTTGTCAAGTCTGTCTAGTGCAACCTGAGGTCTGTAGCCCCATGGTCTACCTGTATTCCACCCGGCAGCTTTCCATGAACTACAGTGGTGTCCCCAAGCTCCTCCAGTCACACAAATGTATGGGTCCTTTTTGTTAGGTATGTCTTTGTATATGGCAGCATGTTGTGTCTGTGGGAATGTACAGGTAACTATGTCACAGTAATCAAAGGTGTATGTAGCTACATCAGTATCAGAAGAATTGTACCAGAAAGTGTAAACATGATTATCTTTGGTTATGGCCACTTGTTGGGCCCAGGCAAAATGCAACAATATAAGAAAACACAAGACACATAATAAATTCATGTTTCAACAAGATCAGCTTCTCCTGGAGCAGGCACTTTTTTGCAATGTGAAGCGTGTATCCAGGAACTTTTTCCAGCTAGTTTAACTGACGTTGCTGTAATCAGGAGCACTTGATAAGGACCATCGAATCTTGGTTCTAGGGTGTGTTTCCTGAGGAACTTCTTAACCATAACCCAATCACCCGGAAGCAGCTTGTGTGTACCTGAATTCGACTCAGGATCTGGAATAGAAGAAAACACTTGGGCATGTATCTTGGTCAAGGCATGTGAAAGGGCAGTCACATAGTCTACCATAGCGTCTGACTGAATCTGAAGCTGTTGGGGAAAGTAGCAACCTAACCTGGGTGCTGTACCAAACAAAATCTCATAAGGTGACAAACTGTATTTTCCTCTGGGAGTATACCTTACACTGAATAACGCTAGTGGGAGACTCTCGGGCCAGGGCATGTTAGTTTCTTGTGACATTTTAAGCATTCTGGCTTTCAATGTGCCATTCATGCGCTCTACCTTACCACTACTCTGTGGGTGATATGGTGTGTGGAATGCAAGGGTCACCCCCAGTGCTGACCAGACTTCCCGTGTTAGCGAGGCAGTGAAGGAGGTCCCTTGGTCACTTTCAATTACTTCTGGAACCCCGTAGCGGCAGACAATTTCTGTCAAGAGGTACTTGGCTGTAGTCCTCGCGGTGAGATTAGTCACTGGGAAGGCCTCTGGCCATCCTGAAAACATGTCCACTATAACCAATGCATATTCATAACGTCCGCTCTTTGGCATCTGAATATGGTCAATCTAAATCCTCTGGAAGGGGTATTGTGGCTTGGCTAGATGATTAGGTGCAGTCTTTATGGCCTTTCCAGGATTGCACTTAGCACATATAGTACAAGATTTGCAGTAATTCTGTGTTAAGGTAGTGATGCCTGGTGCTTCAAAATACTTGTCAATCAGTGAGTTCATCAGGAGCTTTGATAGGTGGGCTGGCCCATGGGCCCATTGGACCACCGCTGGGTACATACTTCTAGGTAGACAGAACTTGAGATTAATGGTGTAAACTTCATCACGGAGTATTGCTCCTTTGTTCTTCCAACTTTGTTTCTCCTGAGGAGTGGCAGCAGCTTGTTGTTCCTTCAGCAGCCTGAGATCTGTAGGCAATGTTTGCATAGTGTAAATGGGTAATGTATCTGTGGCCACTCTTCTGTCCACTTCCCATCCTTGTCGTGCTGCCTCTTTGGCTGCCTGATCAGCTAGGTTGTTGCCACGTGCTTCTTCTGTGTCTAATCTTCCATGAGCTTTTACTTTCAATACTGCCACTTCTGCTGGGAGTTCCAATGCGTCCATCAGTTCTGCAATGGCTGCCCCATGTTTTACTGGGGTACCGGTGGCTGTAAGAAATCCTCTGGTCTTCCAGATTAAGCCAAAATCATGTGCCACTCCCAGGGCATATCTTGAATCCGTATAAATGTTGACACGTAGGCCTTCGGACAGTTTGCAGGCCACAGTCAAGGCTGTTAACTCGGCCTCTTGGGCAGACTTAGTTGGTTGTAGGGCAGCTGCTTGTAATATTTGACATCCTGTGGTGACTGCATACCCAGTGTGGTATTGTCCTTGTTCATCAGCAAACCTTGAGCCATCCACAAATAGTGTTTGATCCGGGTTGAGTAATGCAGCTTCATAAACAGTTGGTAGGTGTGTAGTTTTCATTTTCATTTGTTCAAAACAGTCATGGGGAATATCAATGAGGTTGCAGTCTATGGTGGGTGGGTCCTCACAGGCCTCTGTGTGGTACCTGGAGTATCCTGTTGTGCAGTAGTTAATGGTC